TTATTTTCAAAAATTTTAATAAAATTCTTCAAAAGATTTTAATTATTTTCATAAATAATAAAATTTTTCGTTGAAATTCAATTATTTTTAATAAAATTTAAATTAAATTTCTCAAAAGAATTACATTATTTATCAAGATTTTAATAAAATTCATCAAATCAATTCAATTATTTTTATGAATAATAGAATTTTTTCTAGGAATTCAATTATTTTCATTACTGAATTCTATGCAGGAATTTAATGATTTTCTAATTTTTTTGTTAGAAATTCTAAGCAAAAATTCAATTATTTTAAAAATTTCAAAACTTTTGGTCAGAATTTCAATTATCTTTAGAAATCATAAAATTCTTCTCCAAAATTCAATTATTTTCAAAAATATTGTTGATTAATTCTTGGCAAAATTTCAATTATTTTCAAAAAATTTCCTCAATTCAATGCTGTTTAACATCTACTACTTTAATTAAATTTTTTTAAAAAATTTTAATAAAATTTTGCGCAAACTTTTAATTACTTTCATAAATAATTAAAATTTCTCAGGCATTGAATTATTTTCAAAAACTCTTTTAAAATTCTTTGGCTAAGTTCAATTATTTTTAATACAATTTTAATCAAATTTCTCGAAAAATTAAATTATTTTTAAAAATTTTATCAAGATAATTCAAGTATTTAAAATTTTGTTTATAAAATTCTTTATGGTAATTCAATTTTAAGAAACATTTTATTATTTAATAAAACATTTATTTTTGTATTTAAATAATTGAATTCTTGTAGATTTTTCTAATAAAAATTGATTTTCATTTCATAAAAATGAATTTCAATTAAAATTTTTTGATTATAATTAAACATTAAAAGCATTATAGCGTGAATTTTCAAAAATTATTGAATTTCAAAAAAGTTTCAAATTAAAAACTTTGAAATTCTGAATTTTTCACACTTTTAATCAATAATTATGTAAAATTAATTTTTTCAAAAAGTTTAATTGAATTTTTTTTAATTATTTGAAGTTTTTCTTTTCTAACATATTTAATTGAAAAATTTCCGAATAATCGATGAAATTTCGTAAAATTAAATTGTAAACAAAAGGTTTTTGAAAATTCTCAAAAAACTTTTTCAAAAATTATTTTTAAAAAATTGATTTAAAAAAGAATTGTAGTTGAAAATTCCAGAAATGAATAATTGAATAGAAATAATGAAAATAATTTTTGAAAAAGTTACAGTAAAACAATATTTTTATAATAAAAAATAATTATTTTGTCAAGTTTTAATTTATTATAAAACATGAAGATATCGATTGCTCCGAGTCGAAGACTCGGAGTGATCGATATCTTTATGTTTTACAATAAATATTCTTATACGTTAATGAATTTAAAATTAAAAAAAATTTTAATTTTTATGAAAAAATAATAAGTAAATATTTATTTAAAAATGAAGTTTTTGATGTTTTCGAATAATTTAACAATTAAATACGAAGTACAAAAAGGACAATAAATAGGTAACAAAAATCAGAAGATAATTTATTTTCTGCTGTTTTTGGTTACCCATTTATTGTCCTTGAGCTAATTAATTATTAATTGAATAATTTAATCGAAAAATTGAGTATTTACCAAAAAAAAAGAAAATAGAAGTAAAATTGCAAGAATTAGGGAAAAAATCCTATTTTTAATATTCTCTTCCATTAATATTCCAAATTGTATTAGTAAAGAAAGAAAATAAATTATAAATACAGATAAAAAATCGAAAAGTATAATATTAACTGAAAATTTTAATAAAAATACAACAAGAAAAGAAAATTGAAATAAAATTGCAGCCATTGAAGGGAAAAAAGTATTTTTTTGATCTTTCCTTCTGTTAACATTCCGATTGTGTTAATAAAGAAAGAAAGAATGAAAGAAAAAAAATGCAGTTTAAGGAAAATCGTGGAGAGTGCTCATCTTGGCGAGACGAATAAAATTTCCTCCCTTTCTGTGTCCTTCCTTTCGGATGACTTCTTTTCACCGTTAAGAGAGAAGTACTTGAGGAAAGAGTAAGAATTTTACGAGAAAATCGAATAAAAATCCGGACGAGCACTTTCGAACTTGGAAATAAACGAAACTTTGCGCACAATTTGTGTCTCTTCGCCATCATTAATTTCTTCAAAACATATATAAAGAAGTTTTAACAAAATTCCTTTTTCGATTTGTTTTTGTTTCCGTTTCGACTTCTCTCTGAATGCAAAGATTTTTTTTTTCAAAAAAAAATATTTTTTTTTAACTTTCGCAGTTTTTCTATTTTTTTTTTAGTAATAAAATTATTTAGTCCAGTTTCCTTTTTTAAAAAAGGGGTAGAAATTAAATTTTCTTTTGAAAGAGAATTTAAATTTGAAGAGAACAAAATTTTTTCCCCCAAAAAAAGAATTTTTTTTTAAACTAATGGAGTTTTTTTTAATAATTTTAATTCAAAATTTTGAAAGCAAATGAATTTTATGAAGAAGAATTTTATTAAAATTGAATTGAAAATAATTGAATTCTTGAGAAGAATTTTACTATTTATAAAAATAATTGGAATGTTTCGAAGAATTTATTAAAGTTTTAAGAAATAATTAAATTTTTATGAAGAATTTTATAGAAATATTTGATAATAATAAATTTTTTTCTAGAAATTCAATTAAAGTTGTTTCGAAAATAATTAAATTTCTTTAAAGAAATTTATTAAAATAAGGTTTATTCAAAATAATTGAATTCGTCTCAAGAATTTTATTATTTTTTGAAAATAATTGAATTCTTTCATTTTTTTTGACGAATATATTTAACAATTGCATTGAAAATAATTAAATTATTTCGTATAATTTTATTTAAATTTGATTAAAAATAATTTAATTCCTGCAAAGAAATTTATTATTTATAAAAATAGTTGAATTGTTTCAAAGAATTTTATTATTTAAAAAAAATGAATTGAATTGTTTCCAAGAATTTATTAAAATTTTAGGAAATAATTGAATTTTATGGAAGTATTTGAAAATATTTGAATTCTTCCGAAGAATTCAATTAAAATTGTTTTGAAAATAATTGAATTCCTGCAAAGAATTTTACTATTTATAAAATTAATTGAATTCTTGCGAACAATTTTACTATTTATAAAAATAATTGAATTGTTTCCAAGAATTTATTAAAATTTTAGAAAATAATTGAAATTTATGGAAATATTTTTAAAAAAATTGAATTCATCCAATCAATTCGATTAAAATTGTTTTGAAAATAATTGAATTCCTGCAAAGAATTTTACTATTTCTAAAAATAATTGACTTATTGCACAGAATTTTACTATTTATAAAAATAATTAAAATATTTCGAAGAATTTATTAAATTTTTAAGATATAATTAAATTGTTATGAAGAATTTTATAGAAATATTTGATAATATTCAAAATAATTGAATTTATCACAAAAATTTTATTATTTTTTGAAAATAATTGAATTTTTTCAATTTTCTGACGAATATATTTAAAAATTGCATTGAAAGTAATTTAATTTTTATATAGAATTTTTTTTTAAATATTTTACGAATAATTGAATTATTTTTAGAGAATTTTAAATTCTTGTTGAAATTGAATTTTATGGAGATTTTTGAAAATAATTAAATTCCTTCGTGGTAATTTTATTGAAATTTGATAATAAATAATTTAATTCCTGCAAAGAATTATAGTAGGGGAATGTAGTCAAGGTTGGCCTACTGTCTAGGTAGGCCACTCGCGTTTTTTTGTCAAGTTCACTAGCGCCACCTACGCGCATTTTTGTCGAAGCTTGTCTTAGTGAAACCTAACTTTTTGTTCAATTACATTTTCGGAAAATCGAAAATTGTGTTTTCTGTGACGTCGGTACAAAAAAAGCTCAAAAAAAGTTTTGTGCATAATGTGAAAAACCATTAATAAAAGATAAAAAACAAATTGAATCGTCAAGGCAAGTATGCAGAAAATTTGTGGGACTCATGGTTGAAAGGAAAACAAAGTAAAAAATCGAATCCCGAAACGTATTTCTTTATGGTTACAACAATTCGGTAATGTTACTTACTGTCAAGGTCGGCCACTATGTGTTTAAAATGCTCAAAGTTGAGGACGAGCTACTTCATTTGCAAAAACTGCAATTTTGTATAACTCATAATATAATTGATCATCTTATTAATATTTTTATTTAATTTTATTAATATTTTAGTGCAAAACTTTTTTTTATTTATATTTATTTTTTTATATTGTTTATTGTTATTATTTTGTTATTTCATTAAGTTACAAACTGTAAACAATAAAGAATCAATTTTCCGTAACTCCAAACATGTTATTTTATTTTTTAACGATTAATGCCCTTTGAATTTTAAACATGGCCGACCTTGACTGTAATGGCCAACCTGGACTAAAAATTTTTTTTTTTTTAAATCTTTATAACTTTTTCATTTTTAAACCTGTCAATTTACTTTGTACAGAAAAAATGTTCCTATTAAACAGAACTTTCCAACCATATACTTCAATTGTCCAAATTCATTTTTAAAAAAAAGTTATAAACAAAAGTCAAAAAGGTGGCCGACCTAGACTATGTTCCCCTATTTATAAAAATAGTTGAATTATTTCCAAGAATTTATTAAAATTTTAGGAAATAATTGAAATTTATGGAAATATTTTTAAAAAATTTGAATTCAATTGAATTAAATTTAATTGGATTAATTTTAATTGGAATTCAATTAAAATTGTTTAAAAATTTTTTTTCCCCAAAAAATCTTCGGGAGAAAAAATTCAATTTTTTGGTTTTTTTCCTTTTTTAATTTTTTCTATTGTATTTTTATTTTATTTTTTATTAATAATAAAAATTTTGAAAGAAACCTGAAATTTTTATCCTAAGAGGTAAACTTCTATTTCCTGAGGAAGAATAAAAAATTTTTTTCCTTCAAATATAAAAATACAGTATTTTCTAGTTTTTTAAGTTTCAAATTGAAAATTATCGACAAGGTGATTAAAAAAAATGAATTTCTTTTTAGGGCACCAGTCAGAGGACGACGGATATATGAGTATGAATGGGCGGAAGGCAAAGATGGCGTTGGTAGCATTACGTCCGGTTCCAGACTGTCCTGAACCGCAGGATTCTGCAGGAGTTACCGCCCCGGAGTTTCCTCCGCCACCGGAAGAGGCCGAGCGCATTATCTCTACACTTCTCCCCATGTGAGTAGAGATTCCCTCTTCTAATCTAAGCCCCTCTCTCTCTCACTCTCTCACTCTCCCGTTTGGCTATACTCGACAAACTCATCTGATATTAAATTTATAATTACGGTTATTTTGAGGGGAAACTCAAAAGCCCTCTCCCCCACCTAATTCCTTTATTTATTCACGTTTTGCTTTCATAGAGTAAAATCTTCATAATTATAATCCCTCTAATGTAAGGATCAGTTATTTAACATTTTTACAGGTATTTAAATTATTTTTTGTTATTTGTTACAATTTTCATTAAATTTCTCAAAAGAATTTTATTATTTTTCAAAATTTTTATAAAATTTATTGAATCAATTCAATTATTTTTTTAAATAATAAAATTTTTCGTTGAAAATTCAATTATTTTTAATAGAATTTTAATTGAATTTCTCAAAATTATTTTTCAAAGTTTTAATAAAATTTTTCACATGAATTCAATTATTTAAAAAAATGTAATAAAATTCTTCGTATCAATTCAATTGTTTTTATAAATAATAGAATCCTTCTTAAGAATTCAATTATTTTCAAAAGTTTTTTAAAAATTCTTCGTAAGAAATCAATTATTTTCATATATTGCAAAATTCTTTTGAAATATTTTTAAGTTCTATTCAGAGATGAAAAATTTGGCCAATTTGATTAAATCGAAATGTGCGGAATAAATTATTTTCATAAATTCTTCAAAAGATTTCAATTGTTTTTAATTTTCATAAATAATAAAATTTTCCATTCAAATTAAATTATTATTATTATTACCTGCAATTTTAATTAAATATCTCAAAATAATTACATTATTTTTCCAAAATTTTAATAAAATTCTTCGGAACAATTCAATTATTTTTCAATTTTTTGCAATCTTCTTCACTAAAATTCAATTATTTTCATAAATTAAAAAATTCTTCAAAAGATTTCAATTATTTTCATGAATAATAACATTTTTCGTTGAATTAAAATTATTTTTAATATAATTTTCATAACTTACAAACTACTTCGAATGATTTCAATTATTTTCATGAATAATAAAATTTTTCGTTAAAATTGAATTATTTTTATTTCAATTTTAATTAATTTTCTTCAAAAAAATCCATTATTTTTCAAAATTTTAATAAATTTATCGAATCATTTTCATGAATAATTCAATTTTTTTGTTGAAATTCAATTATTTTCAATACAATTTTAATTAAATTTCCCAAAAAATTCCATTATTTTCAAAAATTTTAAGAAAATGCATCGAATCAATTCAATTATTTTTATGAATAATAGAATTCTTCCTAGGAATTCAATTATTTTCATAAATAAAAAAGTTCTTTGCAGGAATTTAATTAATTTCAAAATGTTTTTTAGAAATTCTACGCAAAAATTCAATTATTTTCAAAAATTACAAAATTCTTCGAAAAATTTCAATTATTTTCATGAATAATTAAATTTCTCAAAAGAATTCCATTATTTTTCAAAATTTTAATAAAATTCATCGAATCAATTCAATTATTTTTATAAATAATAGAATTTTTCGTTGGAATTCAATTATTTTCATAAATAATAGAATTATTGGCAGGAATTTGATTATTTTCAAAAATTTTTTTAGGTATTCCACGCAAAAATTTAATTAATTTAAAAAAATACAGAATTCTTCCAAAGATTTGAATTAATTTCATGAATTATTAAATTCTTCGTAACAATTCAATTATTTTCATTAATGATAGAATTTTTCGTTGGAATCCAATTATTTTTCATTTGTTTATTGTTATTTTGTACCTTTTTCCCAATTTCTCGATTAGATTAATTTTTAAATTTTAAAATGAAAGCAAAACAGCAATTAAAAAAAGAAAAATTGTTAAAAAATTTACTGAATTTACAATGTAGAGAAAAAACTCAGGAATCTTGAAAGAAATCAAAATAAGTTGAATAATTTTCTTTCAATATTTTAGAGTTTTTTAAAATTTACTCATTCCAAATTTCAATGAATCCTAATTTAATTTACATGAAGTATTTCTTGATTAAAATTGCAGTGAATCGAAATTTAATTTCATTCCAATTCTACTTGACCTTTCATTTTAATTAATCAAAAGTCAATTTATCCAAAATCTAATTTCTCCAAATTTCTGTCCATTTAAAAATCAATTGATCAAAATAATAAAAATTAATTAAAATTTTATTAGTTAATTTACAAAACTAATGAATCAAAATTGATTAAAATAGAAATAATCAAAATTATATTTTTATTTTCATTTTAATTCAGTTACTTAAAAATTATTTACATCAAGAAAAATTGCAATTGATGGAAATTTTACAAAATTACAATTTAATTACAATTTATCAAAAATTCAATTTTATCAAATTTCAATAGATTTAAAATCCAATCGATCAAAATTATAAAAATTAATTTAAATTTTATTAATTAATTAGTTACACAATTAATAAATCGAAATTAAATTAAAATGGAAATAATCAAAATTGCAATAATTTAAATTCAATTTTCAAATGATTCAGTTTTTAGTCAATTCTTATTTTTTATTTGTCAAAACAAATTTTTTTAGTAAAAACTTTAAAAAACGATTTTAATTTTAATTCAAACAAATTTGGAAATATCTAAATTTCGACTCATTTCAATTTTAATAAATCGCAAATTGATTCCAATACAAATTTCAAATTATCAGAATTTGGATCTATTTTAGCTTTAGTTATTAGTAAGAAAAATTTATCGAAAAATTGATAAAAAAAAGCAGATACAAATTAATTATTTTTGAGTTAATTTTTTTGCAAATAACATTTTTCTTTGTAACTTTTCTGTCTTCTATTTTCGAAAAATAATTCACTTTTTTGTCAATTTTAACGAAAAAAAATATTGCGATTATAGGTATAAAATTTTTTTCTTTGAACCGAGTAGAAAGTCTTTCTCAAAATTTATATATTGTTTTTCGGTATTTAAACTAAATCTATAAAATTTTTTTATTGAAATTTATTATTCTTGTAAATTATTATTATCGATGTGTTGTAGTGTAATCTTTGCAGCGTGATTTGAAAGAAAAAATTAATTCTATAAAAACCACAAAAATCGATACGTTCTACTGAAGGGATTAAAAAGGTATGATTCGCTAGTAATCCCTTGCACGCAGGAGCGTTCTTTCTTTAATCATTTCTATTTATACTTTTTTTTTAATGAAAAAAATCTCTTCATCCTCTATTAAAATCTTTTATGGCTTTTTAATAACATAATGATAATAATTCTAGTTGAGAAATGGAAAATTATAAACGAAAAGAAATTAATTCGATTTTTAAATATAAAAAAATTTTATTTTTATTTAAAAACGAATCGGAAAGTTTAATTTTGTTTTTAAATAAAGCAAACAAATTGATTTTTTTTATAGATTAATAAAAATAGTCAATTTTATTTAGAAATAAATAAAAAAATATTCAATTCAATTTATGGAAAGAATTCAATTTTATTTATAAATAAACAGAATTTAATTTAATTAATTTATAAATATACAGAAAAAGTGAAGAAAAGATTGAGGAAAAGTTCAATTTTTTTCCATACAATTTTAATTGAATTCCTCAGAAGAATTCAATTTAAAAAAAAAATTTAACATTTCGAATAAATTCAATTATTTTCTAAAATCTTTAATAAATCCTTCGAAACAATTCAATTATTTTTATAAATAGTAAAATTTTTTTGTAGGAATTCAATTATTTTCAAAACAATTTTAATTGAATTCTTCGGAAGAATTCAAATATTTTCAATTATTTCTTAAAATTTTAATAAATTCTTCGAAACAATTCAACTAATTTTATATATACTAAAATTCTTTGCGGGAATTAAGTTATTTTTAATTGAATGTAATTAAAATTAAAAGAAAGAATTTAATTATTTTTAAAAATTTCCTAAAAATTCAACAAGAATTTGAAATTCTCTTAAACTAATTCAATTATTCTCAAAAACTAATCCAATTCTTTACAGAAATTCAATTATTTTCGAAACAATGAATTTAATGATTTTCAATACATTAATTTTAAAACTGAAAATATTTGAAAAGAATAATAACAAATTATTAAAATATAAGTTAGAAAACAAAAAAGGAAACAACAACTTACTTTAAACTGCGAAAAGATTACCGAAATACAACGATTATTAATATAGATAGAAGATTATTAAAAAAAACCTTTCATTTTATTCACAAATAAACAAAACAAAAAAAAATAAAAAAAAAAACCAAAAAAGCAAAAAGTAAAAAATTGAAAAAAAGTGAATTTTATTTTTAAATTTAATTACATTTCTTTTTTTTTACTCATAAATAAAATTCAATTTAATTTGTAAATAAATGAAAAGAACATATTTGGAAAAAAAGGATTTATTTTTAGATTAAACAAATAAAAAAAGTTTATTAAACTTGTAAATAAATCGAAAAAGTGATTAAATTATAAAAAGGAATTTTCAAATGTAAATGGAAATTTTTTTTTTTTAAATAATATTTCTTGTATCTTATTTTTGTGTTTTTGCTCTCGTCTTCTTTATTTTATTGCAGAGAATCGATTTTTGTGATTCGCCTCTTTGGTATATACGTTATTTGGAACCTCGAGAGAGAAAAGTGTCATTTCGTTATATATTTATGTACAACATTTTATATATGGAAAAAGAGAGTCGAGAAAGAAACTATTCTTTGCGAGTAGTGAAGCACTGGAAACGCTCGAAATGCTCGAAACGAAAAAGAGTTCTCCTTGAGCGGGCGTAAAATTCGTTCTGGACGATTGTGTTGCCGAAGGACGAATCGGATACTCAAGGAAAGAGGCTTTCTTCGAACAAGTATATAAAATGCGAATCGACTTCTTCGACTTCTAAGCTTCTCTCGAGACTGATTACCGCCGATCGACCGATATCGGCACCCGATAATGGGAGTCTTGAAAACGGAACTTCAGATCGACCAGATGCTGCCCCGACCTACATTATTTTAAATTGGCCCACGCCTCCTCCACCTTTT